TTTTTTATTTTTATGGAGGGTGAACGACTTTGGGATCGTAATTTTTTGACAGGCAATCCCTCATCTCGATCTTTTCGAGAGGCTTTAGCGGGTTCTTCTCCTTGTTCGAGCTCCAATTTCCATGACCTTAAAATTTCATCTTTTCGGGGGTTGCCCATCACTTTGGATTTCAGATGAGGAGGTTCTGGCTCTTGCAGCTCCCTTCGAGTTTACGCTTGTTGGTAAATTTCCGACTTATAGGCCTTCACTTGAGGCGATTCACAAATTTTTCTTTAATCTAAAATTCAACAGTGTATTTTCGGTCACTGTTCTTAACCCTAAGCATGTTCTTGTCAAGCTTGAGAATGATATGGATTACTGCCGTGTTTTTTCCCATCGCTCCTACTTTGTGAACAACTGTTTCATGAAAATTTTCAAATGGTCCCCTACCTTTGATGTTGATTTTGAATCTCATACTATCCCTATTTGAGTTTCTTTTCCTAATCTGAGACCGCATCTCTTTGCCTCGAGGATTCTCCATGGACTCGGTTCCATGTTTGGTATACCCCTTAAAATTGATCATGCTACTTCCTCTGGGTTTTGGGTCATTCGTCGGTTTCTCTCCTTTGGGTTGCTACATTGGTTGGAAGGCACTATGATTTATTTTTTAATTGTGGTGGTTGCTATTTTGCTAGAGCTTCGTTTAATATTCGAGCATGCGATTGTTGGTTTGTGGGCAATGATATGGTTAGGGCTCACTTCTCTTAAGCCATGGCTCGTGGCAACTTTTGGTGGTGCGTTTCTTGCTAGTTTGGGATGGTTTCTTGGTGCGTTACTGCTCTCACTCCAAACTGGATGGCCCGCGCCTGGCTTCGGAGTAGTTGGAAGCCTCTGCCAAATACTGAGCCTGATGGGTTGTTACCCCCCTTTTTTGTATCTCTGTAGTTTTTTTTTTTTCGTCCCGTCTTTAAGCTTGTTGTAATCCTTTTTTAAGTTAAAATATAATTTGGTAAAAAAAAAAAAAAGCAAAGAGTATAGCCTATTTCTCTTTGCACATTTCATGCTGATTAAGGTTTTGTTTGTGATGACTTTTTTACTGCTTCTTAAAGTAGGTTTATAGTGAAAAAAATTTAAAATTTTATACTAAAAAGCTGCTTTAAGAATCATTAAGAAAGCCGTCACAAACAAAACCTAAGAAATCGTCAGATACTTCAAACGCTTTCTCTATCTTAAACAATTTACTGTTGGGCAATAGGCTTTTGGCCATAATTTGCTCACCACAATTAAAGTATGGCTCAATCAGCACCCATACAATCGTAAAATAATAATCATGAGATCATGCAAATTGTTGGCCTATAATAGTTTGTTTTCTATGTGGAGAATATCATCAATCATTTGTGTTAGGCAGTTTAAAATAAAATATATAATTTAGTAAATTAAATAATAGAGCCTTCTTATTCATTGCAATTAATTTTTTTTATTATAGCATAAATTTAGAGGTCGGTAATTATTAAAAGAAATTGAGATTAGAAAGCAGTAGTTATTGCCATGATCAGCTTACTGGTAATCTGAAAAATACAGACTATTTGGGTCAGCTTTTTTATTCTCTTTTAAAGCAATTTTTTAATAAAAAATTAAAAAAATTGTTATATCAGCTTACTGGTAATCTGATAAATACAGACTATTTGGGTCAGCTTTTTTATTTTTTTAAAGCAATTTTTTAATACAAAAATTAAAAATTTTGTATAAAAAAAAGCTTTAAGAATCAATAAAAAAACAGTCCCAAACGAATTTATAATTATGCTGGAACACTAATCGGTAAACTGACCATAGTGGACCTTTCTCTACTACCGATTCGAAAATCAATATCCATTGAAAAAAAATAATTTAATTTAGCAGAGGTTTTACAAATATTAAAGAGAAAGGAAAATGGTTAATTACCTAAAAGTCAACATAAGCTTAACAATATCTTCTTTAAAAAATATTTATACAATATTGACCCGTCACATCTTCCATATAACAGCTTAATTTCTTATAGAGATGATGAAAAAAAAAAATTATAGACATTAAAAAATAAATTCATGCGTTGTTTTTTAAGCACTGTTGACTTAAAATATTTTTTTTTTCTAAAATTTATTTTAAAGATTTTTTTTTTATATATTATATTTTTAGAGTAAGATCTAAGAAACCTAATTAAAATTTCTGATCTATCGTATGCATCCCATCATACAATACTTCCTTCTCTTATAATGTCCTTATCCCTATAAAGGTCAGCCACTTCCTCAGTTCTTCTCACAGACCAAAGTCTTCTTCTCCTTCTCCATTATTTAGACATAATTGCATTTATAAAGTGAGTTTTGTGTTTAATTAGAAAGAGAAGTAATCTTCAAGAGTTGACAGAGAGAGAAAAATGGGTAGGGCTCCATGCTGTGATAAAGCCAATGTGAAGAAAGGACCTTGGTCTCCTGAGGAGGATGCGAAGCTCAAGAGTTACATAGAAGAACATGGAACTGGTAACAACTGGATTGCTCTCCCTCAGAAAATTGGTAAATATTCTACCTCAAACTTTAGCTCTATTGGTATATTAATTTATATCCTTAATTTGTCATTTCTTTTGATTTAAGAGACATGAATTAGAAATTTTAGTGGCTTTCTAATTCAACCTAAGGAGATAAAAGGAAATTTCTGAAACAGCTTTCCCTATTGCTTATGATGTTTTTATCAATAAAAATTAGATTTTTTTGCAATTCAAAGCTTTATTTCTTGTTAGCTATCAAGCGGAAGAGGAAAATAATTAAAGAGTTTTAGCTTATGATATCAGTCCATGAAATTTAGATTTGCTTAAGAGTTATTAAGGAAGATATTATGAGTTGTATGAGAGATCTGTTTGCTAACCTGTTATGTAAATCTTGAAGAGGTTAAGCTGAAATCAATTAAGCCCTCTCTGTGATTTTAGTTATTTCCAAATCATGATAAAAAATTATGAAGAAAATATACAATAACAAAAATATATCAAAACAAGATACTTGAAATTGGCTTCTCAGATAAATTACTGGTCAATATTTCAGGTCTCAAGAGGTGTGGCAAGAGCTGCCGGCTAAGATGGCTAAACTACCTCAGGCCAAATATCAGGCATGGTGGCTTCTCAGAAGAGGAAGATCGCATCATATGCAACCTCTATATTAGTATTGGCAGCAGGTAGACGTACATAACTCTTCAAAATTCTAATTTTTACAACCATAATTTATATATGATATAAGCTCCAAACTTCTTACACGTTTGGTAAATATTTTGATCTAGCAAAATGTTAATTTCACCAATATATACAAGCCAATTAAGTGCATAAAATAACTTGTGAGGTATACTCGTCTAAATATCTCCCATGTAAGTCTAAAGCTAGCTAATTCAATATAATACAGAAATCTAACCCTATGAACAGGTGGTCAATCATAGCAGCTCAGCTTCCAGGAAGAACTGATAATGACATCAAGAATTACTGGAACACTAGGCTTAAGAAGAAGCTTCTTGGCCGGAGAAGAGACCTTCCACCATCGCAGTTCCGTCAGTTAGCTGCCGCTAACCCTAAACTTAAAGATGAGGGTGTCAACTCTAACCCTAATGAATGCCCACAAACCCTAACAGCATCAGCACTGGAAAGGTTGCAGCTTCATATTCAGCTCCAAAGTCTACACAGTCCCTTCTCCTTCTATAACACTACATCCCTTTGGCCCAATAATAAGCTCTTGCAAACCATAAACATTAGTACTGATTCCATTGCCACTACTGCATCACCATTGAAGGATTTCCAGCAAAACGACATTATCAATTCTATGATTGCAAACACGCAGGAAAATATAGGAATTCCTTCTTCATATTCCAATAACCCTGAGGCCGATTTCCAGAACCTGCTATATGGCTATAAGGAGAATTACCAACTCACACAAGTGGATTGCTTGAAAGGAATCATGAATGATGAGCAGAAGGCAATTGACTGGTGGGAAAGCAACGAATTCGAGGAGAAATTTCCGTCCAGTTCGTGGGATTCGGCTTCTGTTCTTCAGCCAGATACTGTGGTCATTCAAGATTATGAGCTCGGGTATGATCAATAGTCTCATTTACTGCATGGAGTTTGGTTCAGCTATAATTAATTTAGGGTACTGAAGCTTGTACGAGGAATTACTGTTGTAAATGTGTGAATAATACTGTCATTATTGCTGGTGTGGTTCAGAATATTTTAGCTGAATTTGATCTTTATGTGATAGGTGGTTTTCACTCTTTCTAATTAAATATCCTCCCCTTTGATTACTTCTTCATCCACCTCCGATCCTCAATGCATGCAAGTTCAAATATTAGCAGTTACGCCTTGATTATCATTGGGTTTAAGTTTGAAATAAGTTCTCCATCCTTTCTTCACTAATCATGGAGAGAAAGAAAGGCTTAGAATCTTCTGAGTCAAATTTTGCTTAGAATAAAAGACATTTCTTTTTGTAATTTTTTATCATGTAATAAATAATTATCTTAGGCTAGGGGTGTCAATATATGACATGACCTCAAAACTCGACACGAAAATTTCAGGTTCGGGTCAACCCAAACCTGAAACGGGTCAGGTTCAGGTCTTGATTTTCGACCTGTTTCGAATTCCGAGTCAAGTTCAGGTTGACTCGGAAATCCGAGAATGACCCTGTTTCACACTTATTTATGGGATTTGGCCGAAGAGGCGCACGAAACGGAGAAAGGCACCTTCACAACGAGTGAACTCTCGTGTTGCTTCCGATCAAAATGTTGTAACTTCCGATCCGACCGAAAGGGAACGTGAGCTATGTCGTCCGTGGAACTAAGTCGAACAACAACGAATGGAGAAAGTTACCTTCACAGCGAGTGAACTCCCGTCGTTGCTTTAAATCAAAATGTTGTAACTTCCACTCCGACCGGAAGTTCGGAAAGTAGTCCAAGGAGTGAATTCGAACAGCAAGGGAACGTTGTCGTTGCTTCCGAATTAAGTCGAACACCAAGTAGCAAAGACACTTGGCGGATCAGGTTCGGGTACGAAAAGCTGACCCGTTTGCAATAACAGGCCGGGTCGGGTTCGGGCTGGGTCGAACAATATTATCAGGTCAATTCCGTGTTGAACCCGAACCCGACCCGTGACCAGATTTTGACAACCCTAAATTATAATAATTAATTGTTGATCTCTAAATTGCATAATAGAAAGGACGTCTTGATCATAGTAAAAAAAAAACTATTTGCTGATTAATGGAAAGTCATTAATCATACTAAACTAAAGCTTACTTAGAATAATCTAAACTGAACATTTCCTTATGGAGCATCTAAGCAGTATGTTCCTTGTTGGCTGATTCCTAACAACTGTTTAATCATGGAAGATAATTCTTTGTTGGGATAGCTGACATTGGAACTCTAAAATATATTTCCTGTTAGATGCTGTTTAATATTTGCTTGTGTTTGAACTTTAGTGAATAAGGAATAGGATTTGCCCTCTCTCACATGGAATAGCCTTGAAGTCCTAGCCCTAATATTTCTTTAATTTATGGAAAAGTCTGTATAGAAGACTTTGTTAGTCATCATTTAGCCCCATAATTAGTCTTAATTATTATCCTGAATCCTCTTTGGAAGTTTCAATTAATTAGCATTAATGGTATTGCTACGTACTCTATTTGGACAGTCTGAATTCACACATGAGGGAAGAATACTCCTACAATTACAATATTCTTACATTTACTTTTACTGAGAAGGATTCAGACCATATGAATTAAACAGTTTAATATTATTCCTCAGTTAATTAAGCACTAATTAAACTATCTATAATATACCACTACACTGTCATATTTAAGTAATAAATCATTCTACTGTTCATAAGTGTTTATATATTAATCATTAATTATAAAATAATAAGTGTTATGTAAGTAAATATGAATATTTGCACCAATCCATTGATAAAAAAGAACTATCAGAAAAATAAAAATTCAATGATCCTAAGATTAGAAGTTTTTTGCTAACTTTGTGATGATAAAATAATGACAATAATGGTAAACTTTAGAAAAAGTCGTATGGCTTTATTTCTTCTTCATCCTCCATATTTTATGTATTTCTCAATGATACCTACCCGCACAAGTAACAGTATTTTTTAAAAATAATCTGGAAATATCAGTGTCTTGTAATTCTTTTGGTATTATTCTACTGCTTTGCAAATGCTCAGGTTCCGGGAAGAAAGCATGATTTATTGGTGAGTTTTTGGTTTCGTTTGAGACGGCTTTAATTTATTACTATTTTTTAAATCAATGTTTTAAAATAATAAAATTTTTGTAGTAAAAAATTGTTTTAAGAAGCAATAAGAAAGCCTTCCCAATATGCTTCATTTGAGATAGATTTTTTTCTTTCTAAAATAATTTTCTAGTACAAAATTTCAAATTCAAAAAAATTTTATTCTGAAAAACAGCTGAGAAAGCATCAAAAAAAAAACTGTCTCGAATGAAATCTTAACGTACAGTTCTTGGACTGAAAGACCGGCCAAAGCATGAATGATTTCTCTTATTTCTTATATATATTTAACAAGATTATTTATGTCCAATTTATCATTATACTTCTATTTTTTTAATAATGAACGACTATAAAGTATAAGATTTGAATATATAACTTTAAAAAAATGATATTTTCCTCTTATCATGAAGCATCATTTCATAAATTTCTATGTTTAAGAAAATATTATGAAAACTATTAAAAAAATTAAAAATTAACTCCCACGGACTCTTGCTCAAATGCTCACTTAGAAATCAATCTAAGAGAATATGTGGCGATGGAACTTTTATTTGGTCCGATAAACGTACGTAGAGCTACGTTCGGCCGGCACTGAGATCACACCATGTAGCAGGCACAAAACGAGAAATGCCTAGCAATACCAACAATAACGAGAAATATCATTATGTGAAGACAAAATACCGAGAAATACCGAGTAATATAAAAAAAATACTGATTTTTTTCTAGAAAAACTTGGTGTTTTTTTGTATTACTCGGTATTGCTCGGTATTACTCGGTATTGGTCTTCACAGAGCGGTATTTCTCGTTATTGCCAAGCAATACCTAGCAATACCGAGCATAAACCGAGTAACTCAGTGATGACCGAATGTAGAGCAACGTCCGATCAGAGGACCTAATGGCTTCATTTTGCAAGATCTGATGTCAATTTTATTGGACCGGTCTAAGCCTCTCAAGCTTTTATGTCCAGTTTATTTTAGGAATTAAACAAATTAATGGAAAGATGAATACCTTGGTGCGATTTCTTTTTCGGAACCCAACCATTTTACCCTGCACAAAAAATATATATTGTGTTTATATGAGAAAATTTACATGATCGGTAATAAATCTTAATATTTATTAAAATTAAAAATATTATAAATTATATTATATAAATGTCATTTCAGCAAATTTATAATTGAAATGAATGTCTCTTAATGAGATAATAATGACATCAAATGTGATTTGATGTGACTCCAAATGAGTTCAATTCAAACATTTAAAGTGCAACTAGAAAGTTCATAACATTTATTGAAGTATTAAACCATGTTTGAATAATGGAAGCTTACAATCAAATTTAACATATCGGCCAGAGGAATCTAACGGGTATAGGATCATTTGACCCTAATCATACATGTACTTAAATGCTGAAAGAATAATTTATGATCAAAGAGATCATTGATAAAGGGTTCGGCTAAAATAATGAAAATGTCACTCTCGAACTATAAATAGGCTCTCATTATCTAAAAAAAAAGAGAGAGAGGTTATGCCTGGACTTGAACTTGGACAGCTCTCAAAGATAAAGAATTTTAGAGCTCTACCTAAAGATTGACGTCGACAATCATTACTATCATCTAGGGGTGCAAAAGAGTCAAGCCATGCTTGAGTCAGGCCTAACTCGAGCTCGACTCGAGAGCCAAATCCCAAGCTCAAACTCAAGTCGAGCTCAAAAGTCTAGCACGAGCTCGACTCGTGCCAGTGATCGAGCGGCTCACAAGCTCGTTAGGTGGTCTATCTTTCATGGTCACACTCCGCCAATCTGTCTTTCGCAATCGCATGCGCCCACAGTTCGCACGTATCCCCGATAGCATGCACCATCGCTTGCCCCGAGTCTTCCGCGCTTCGCCCCCACTAATCGAGCCACTTGACAAGTAGTCGAGCCAAGCATACTTTGGATCGAACTCGAGCTTGATAAGCCAATGAGCTTAAATCTTGCTCAAGCTTGAATCTCGATAAGCTCGACTCACGAACACGTTAATGACTCAAGCCCAAGCTGGCTCGCAAATCAGCTTCACTCTGTTACACCACTACTCTCATCCAACTATTGCCACCCGACCAAATGTCAATACCTGACTTTTATCTTCAAATCATCGTTGCTTGATTTACATCTCCTAATCCTTGTCGACCAACTGTCATAAGCCAACAACCATCTCTTAATCGTTGCTTTCCGTCTGCTATCATAGGGCTGCCATCTCTTGACTATTGTCATATGAACTTCATTATCCCACTGTCATCTTTTGGTTGGCAACGTTACCATTCATTACTTCTCTAGCAATCATCGTTATAGCCACATGAGATCATGCTAGTGCACTCAGCATTATAATGTTATTTTCTCCAATTAAGGAGAATAACAAACTTTTGTCCTCTTAATGACATTACTCCATTGCAATGAATTCCTAACATATAATAAGTATTCATAAATAAATTACAAATGTTTATTTATTTTTATGCTTTTTTTCTCAATGCATCTTGAAATATTTGTTGATATTATTGAAGCTCTTTAATTTTTACATAAATGAGACACCTAACATAAAATTATACTAGAAAATGTGTTAAATTCCTTAAAGTTTTCTTAAACCCAATGGTGCCTTAGCTTTTTTTTTGGCAAGGACAATTATGGCCACTTTAATACTTGAAATTGTTAAGTTAGAAGGAGCTCAAATCTCTACGGGTCAATGCGTGTGTTCTTACTAGGAGACATGGTCAATGTGACTTGAAATTAACTCATGAATCAAACCTCTAGTGCTGAAATTCTAAATATTTATTAAAGAAAAATAAAATTCAAATATTTAGTGTGAAC